AACAGAAAGAAAAGTTAACGAAAATGGTAAATGGTATAAAGAGAATAAGAAAATAGTTTTGATTTTAGCATCTTTTGCTATTTTCTTTTCTTTTCTTTCAATCATTCTTTATCTTCTTTTTTTTTTTGGGGGGGGGGGATTGTGGTTGTGGTTGGAGAAAATTAATCTTTTGGCTATTCCGTTTTATATTTATATGATGATTTAAATGCGTATGTTGCTGGATGGACGTGCGTGTGTGTGTGTGTGTGTGTGTGTGTGTGTGTGTGTGTGTGTGTGTGTGTGTGTGTGTGTGTGTGTGTGTGTGTGTGTGTGTGTGTGTGTGTATGTGCATGTGTACGTAAATACCTATGTCTATGTCTGTATCTGTATCTATATCCATATCTATTATTCTATCTACCTATTTGTGCATGCGTCTGTGTAAATATCAGCATCGTAAATCTAATATTCTCATTAAGTTTACAAAACTCTAACAATTTTATCGCTCGTCACTCAATAAATCTTATGTTGCAGAGCAGTGATAATTGCATATTCTTGCAAAGGTGAACTAAACATTATCATTTTAATGTGTATTCATATGGTAATTTGTCCAGTTTCAATTACTTAATTACATTAATTGTGACAGAGTTAATGGATTTGGTAAGCAATATATTGCAATACACTGACTGGCTGTATCAATGTTGATGTCATTTAGAATTAAACACTAATCTAATCTCCCACCCCCCCTTCCCCCGAAAAAAGAGATAATATAGGTAATATAAGCAATGGGTATGTAGATAATATATATAATATAAATGGTAGAACTAATAAAGATTATATCGAGTATATGGATGATATAGTTCATACAGATAATACAAAGGATACGGATAATACATGTATGTATATTTCGTTAAATTTCAGTCAAAATTCCAGCATATTTTTACAGATCTTTAAGTTAGATATCAAAGGTTGTTTGAGGTTTTGAGGTTGCGTTATTATTCTTATAAAGTCTGTTTGTTTTAATATTTTTGGTGTTATTATTGTTGACTAAAAAAATCCAATGATTGAAGTTTAATATATTGCATTTGTCAGAATTGATGATTCCATTTGATTGATTGGACATTCTGAATGTGGAAAGTGATTCTTTTAGTACTAATGACCAAGCTATTGGCGTTATCATAGTACTATCATGACCATTACTATTATCATTATTATTGTTATTATCATTATTATTATTATTATTATTATTATTATTATTATTATTATTATTATTATTATGATTATTATTATTATCATTATTATTGCTGTCGTTATCATTATCGTCATTATTATCATTATCATTATTATCATTATCATTATTATCATAATCATTATTACCACTATTATTATTATTACCATTATTATTATTGTTATTATCTTTATTATTACTATTATCATTATTAGTATTATTATTATTATTATTATTATTATCATTATTATTAGCAATTATCCCTATTATTATCATTATCATTATTACTATTATTATTATTATTATTACTATCATCATCATTATTATAATCATCATTATTATCATTATCATCTTCACCAACATAATTATTTTTGACATTAGTATCTATTTATTGATAATTTATTAATCTCTCATCACTTTGCTGTTATTGTTATCATCGTTGCCATTATTTTCACCTTTTTTTTTGCAAAACACATATGAACTTTGATCGTTTTTTTTTTGTCTGCTACCTAATAACGCAAATTGAAAATCCCACTATTAAAAAGACGATACCCTGGGAAAGAATTAATTAATTCAAAATCTTGATAGGACCTAAACCAACCCAAGAAAATTAAGTTCAAAAGCATTCTAAAACACCAATTCTAATTTCTACTTGAGTTATTATTATTTTTTTATATAGCTTTTAAACCAGTAACGGGTACGTGATACAGCAGTTACACACACAACGCACAGATTCTTTACTTTTTTTCTTCTTTTTTTTTAAGATTCGCGAAGCAGAGCCTCGCCCGGGCTATGCCTATTTGGGGAGCCCGGTATGATTCTTTACTGTCGAGTACGCACTATTTACAACCAAAATACTACGTAGCTCGACGGCTAAATAGATTGTGCTTATGTGTTTTACAAGAGATAGATTGTGTTATCAGATATAGAGATATAGTATGTTTTACTTGCTTCCTGGAATTCCATTTTACAGTGTTATACTTTGAAAAATAAGATTTTATTTTTTTTATTATCTGTCCATTGTATATTCCCTTTATGATTTTGGAAAATCCTTGTGTTTCATAAATCTGGAGATCGCGGGGACAAACTCTTTATTAAAATCGGCCATGTTCATAAATACGAAAAAAAAATCTAATCTAATACCTTCATGTAGATATTCACATTGTACTTCAAGAAACGAGAAATTCCAACCGTGTGAGAACTGATATTACTCAACCGATCCACAAAGCATAATGAATCGTAACCATGGATTAAAACAACCACAATATCAATCCCCGCAACGTCCTGGAATTCCGTAAAGCACAACACAGATTGCAATGTTGATATTAGTGACGAGAGATGGTAAAGATTTCCGAGTAGCAGTATTAATAAACGCAAATTCAGTATCGGTACGGAAACTTCAATAGACCAAGGTGACTGTGAATGCATCGTCCCTTTTCCAACCTGAAAAATGATAACTTATTACTGATAATTGATAAAGGATAACTAAGCAGTAATAACACTAATCATAAACGTCCTTAAAACACACTGATAGTCATGAAATGGTTGCCGATATCGAAATAAACATTGGTACAGAAGATTATTTCTAATGGATAACAAAAGCCATGTTATGTATATTACCAATTCTAAAAGACGGACCATGTTTGTTGTTTTAGTTTTGGCTGGATATTACGTTTCTCGCCCGTTTACATTGTTTCAGATTTGTCCCACGAAATGTATTCAGAGTCAGTGGTTAACAGTGTCAGAAACGCTTGCGAGATTAATATTTGTTGCAATATTGCCATTCCTATCGTGTTTTATCATGTTTGTTTGTGGAATACGCGGACACACACAACGCGATATAGCACACAGACGTAGACATAGATTAAAGTGAGAGAGAGAGAGAGAGAGAGGCAGACAAACAGAGCCAGAGACAGAGACAGTGATAGTGATAATGACAGTGTCAGTGACAGCGATAGGGACAGAGACAGAAAGAGAAACAGAGACACTGAAAATGAGTCATACATGTCTATACACACATCGAACAGATATATACTTGTATACAATACATCTATATATCTATCCAAACATGTGTACTCGCCACCTTAAACTTATATAGTTTTGCATACAAGTTTGTATATCTACATGTACACAAACATCCCAAATTGTACACACATACAAGCAAACATTCCAAACATTTTCGTTGTGTTTAATAGTCATTTCGTGTATTGTTATCATTCTGTATAGATGGAAGAGTTTGCAGTTGCCGTTGCAAAAGTCCACATTAATAACAGAGGTATTTTCTGTGTAATCAACTCTCGATACTTTTTTTTCTGTTTGCTGTCAGTCCATCCCCACTTCCCTTTCCTCCCTTCCTCTCCCTTCACCCTCTCCTTACCTCCTCCCCCTCCCTCTTCTCTTCCTCGTTCCCTTCTCTCTTCCCCCTCTCTCTTTCCTTTCCCCTTTTCTCCTCTCTTTTCCTCCTCCCTCTTTCCCCTTCCCTCTTTCCTCTCTCTCTCTTCCCCTTCTCTCTCCCCACCTTCATTCCCCTCTCCCCAAACCCCAGCTTTCATTCCCGCTCAGCGACAGTGGTAACGGACCAGTAACTACCCCTATAAATTTGGATTTCAGAATCAACACGCACATGTCAGGTAACGTACACAAAATAAAGCTCTTGGACTTTCTGAATGGGGTAGGGATGCGTTGTATATTTTCCCCAGTTTTTTTTTTCTTCTTCTTATTCTTTTTCTTTTTTTGTTTTGTTTTTGTTTTACTAGATTACGGATTTTGCGGGAAGTTTTATGCCCTTGCCTGTCGTAAGCTCATTGTGTTTACAGATTACATAAGTCTTTATGTCTCGTGTCTTGTTCTCGTAGTGTATCTATCTGTGCATGTATCCCATCGTATGTTAGTATTTATGTCAAGGGGTTTTGCTTTCTCTTAAGGCTATAATGACGACCTTACAAAAGCTAAGCATCTGTCTCTTTGGGCATACTCACAGATAGTGTATGGATCTGTGTACAGTATATATTCCTTCGTTAGTGCTTATGTTAAGGGTTTTCTTTTCTATGAAGGCTTAAGGCTATAATGACGACCTCACAAAAGCTAAGCATGTGTCTCTTTGGGCATACTCACAGATATGGTCTGTTGATGGAGGAGAAAGGAGGCGTGATGTCTCCGTCGCAGTCGAAGTGTGGCATCGCCTGGGCTCCCCCTGCCGTCGACATGGCCGTGGCACCACTGAGCCCACTAGTGCTGAGGCCCCCACTCAGGCCAGTGCCACTCAGACCCCCACTGGCACTCATGGACCCCCCAAGTCCCCCTCCTAGGCTGGGGCGAGAACCGGTCATGTTGGTCTGCATCGCCCCTAAGCCTGCGCTCCGGCTGCTCCGCTCGTCCTGGGGAGAGATGCGGCAGTTACGGGTCAACAAGGTCACGCTGCTTGCAGGTCAGGGGTCAGGGGTGCCAAGGTCAGCGTGTCAGGAGAGGTCAGAGCTGCTGCGATTCAGAAAGCATGGCAGTTATGGGTCGGATTTGTTTTATGATAGTTAAGAGATCGGTGCCACGGTTGTTACAAGGGAACTATCTGTACATCTGTATTTATGGAAGAGAGAAAGAGAAAATGGCATTTAAGGTCACATTTTCAAAAAAAAAAAAAGTCAAAACTGCCATTACAGTTTGGCATCCAGTGTGTCTAATTAATTGGCAGTGAGGGGGGTTACCCTGTTACGAATGGAATTAAAACTCACAGGTAAACAGAGATGAAGTATCCTGAGCTCATACGAACAGTTATTTATTCCCACTGACCAATTTTGCA